AATAATTCTTTAACCAAAAAAAAAAAAAAAGGAAAATATCCAACTTAATACTAAAGATTACCACATTGACTTTATTTACAAAATATCTTTCTGAATAAAAAGTTCAAGATGGGCAGACAATGGCATAGTAGTTAAGGCTGCTGGATCCCACATGTCCAACTGTCCAGTTCAAGTCCTGTATCTAGAGCTTGTAAAACATGCCAGTCACATATGTGTGTATACCAAAATCCAGAAAGGAGAAATGGAGACGTGACTGCAGTGTGGTGATACACCCTGAGGGGTGTGATACTTCCCCACACCCCTATAAGTACATGTGCCCTCTGGCAAAAAAAAAAAAAAAAAAATCAGGATATAGTAACAAGGATCAACCCAGTAATAATACACACTCTCAGAGCCCAGGCTGGGATCTCTAAATTCTATTTCCTACTAAAAGATACCAATGCTGAGGGTGGCAGGTGGCATAATTGTTAAGGTGCTAGACTCCCACATAGCCAACAATGGTTCAAATCTTGGACCTGGCAGCTTACTTTGTCATTTCCCTCTCTACCTCTCTTTCTCTGTCTCTCTCTGATGGACACATGTGCCTTGTAGTAAATTAAAAATAATAATAAATAAAATTAAATAATTATTTTTTAAAAAAAAAGAAACCATTGCTTCTCAGAGAAATGGCTGACTCCATATTAAGGATTAGAAATGTACAGGATAAACACAGACCATCAGTTTCTTTCTTTTGAGCTCTGATGCAACATCAGACTATGTGGTCATGTCAAAAGACTCAGAAACCGGGACCAGCAGTTAGCGTAATGGCTATGCCGCTGGACTCCCATGTAGTCGACTGTGGTTCGAGTCCTGAACCTGGTGGCTTAAACTCACACCGGGCACATGTGCATGCATGCCCAAGATCCCGAGAGGAGAATGAAGAAGGGACTGCAGTGTGGCCATCTCCGCTGGGGGGTGATTTCCCGCTTTCTGTCTCTCTGGGTGCGCATGCCCTCTAACAAAAACCTCTCTAAAAAATAAAAAAGACTCAGAAACCAACATGAAGAGACCAGCAGGTGGCGTGGTGGTTAAGGCGCTGGACACTCCCACAAGGCCGACCAGGGTTCGAGTCCTGAATCTGGCGGCTTGCTTTCTCACTTCCTCTCTCTCTCACTCTCACCCTCTGTCTCTCTCTGATCAAACTATAAAATAAATGAATAAATAAAATAAAATAAATAATTATTTTTTTTAAAAAAAAGAAACCAACATGAAGACCCACCTAGTGAGATAAAAAAAATTAAGCATAAATAAAAATAACTCACAAATATGTTAAAATGGGATGAATTCATAATGATTTAAAAAAAAAAAACACAGAATTCACTGGTCAATTTTGGAAGATGGTGGGGAACTAATTATTTTGAAAACTGGGAAATAATCAAACATTAATCCTGCCTTTCCTGTATATCTGGAAGAGTTCCAGCTCATAAAGAATAAATGAGGGGCTGGCAGGTGACGTGGTGGTTAAAGGTACCGGACTCTCACATGGCCAACTGTGGTTCAAGTGCCGGACCTGGCGGCTTACTTTCTCATTTTCTCTCTCTCTCTCTCCCTGGATTCCCACATGGCTGACCATGATTCGAGTCCCAGAACTCGTAGCTCGAGACTCACGCCAAGTACATGTGCATGTGTATTTGCCCAAAATCCTGGGAGGAGAATAGAGGGGAAGGTTTGAGGTGTGGCCATTTCCCCGTGGGGAGGGATGATTTCTCACTTTCCTTCTGTCTCTCCAGCAAGCTCCTATTCCCTATAGCAAAAAAGGAAACAAAACAAAACAAAACAAAACAAACAAACAAAAAACCTCTTTAAATAAATACATACATAAATAAAAGTTTCTTTAATAAATTCCCCAGGGTAAAGATTTGAAAGGGGACATCTATAAATGAAAAGAGACAAGACACAGTAACCAAACTAGGTACAGACCCTGATTGTACCCTTACAGAAACAAATAAAAGAAATTTAAAAAGAACTCGCGGGGGAACCAGCAGTTAGCGTAATGGCTATGTCGCTGGATTCCCATGTAGTTAACTGCAGTTCGAGTCCCAGACCCAGTGGCTTAAACTCATGTCGGATGCATGTGCGTGCGTGCCCAAGATCCCGAGAGGAGAAGGGATAGCAGCATGGCCATCCACCTTGAGGGGTGATTTCTCGCTTTCTGTCTTTCTGTCTCTGTCTTTCTGGGCAGCGCATGTGTGCTATAGCAAAAACTTCTCAAAAAAGAAAAAATTAACATAGCTATGAACTGCCACTAGCATTACTTCTTGAAAAATCTGGTACAGAATAAAGATTCCAAAGAGAAGAAAGGATAGACCAAAATTCTTTTAACTATTAATAAATAGAATACTTCTGACCACTCTGAGATGAGGAGAATGGGAGATGGCAGAGGGTAAGAGATAGGGAATCAAGGACGAGGGAAAAAAAAGCAAAACATACAGGAAACAAAAAATGGAAAATTATTTGTTGACGATAACATGTATGCTAATGTGCTTGATTGAGCCAATATACAGTGTACTCTGGATAGAAAATCTCATTTTGTATACTGTCATGATGTACAGTGAATTAATGTAAATAAATAAATTTAGATGAAAAAAAGACAAATAATAATGTGATTAAATGTATAAAAATAAAATAAAAAATAGAGAATAATAATAATAATATAAAAAACCCAAGTTCCTCAATTTATATGCTTTCATGTATACATACCAACAGAGGCTTAAAGGGGGGCTCCACTTTCCGAGCTAGAAGTTCTTCCCAGTTAATGTGTCTGAAGAATGGATGAGCCTAAGCAAAAACAGAAAGAAAAGTCAAAGGGAATACACTTTACTGGATTGACAAATGAACTGCCTTTCTGAAGTTACAATCTACGAAATAAGCTAAATTTATAAGTAACTATATATACAAACGCATAAAATTATCATTATCATCTCCCCAAATACCAAACATGCCAATTCCTACTTGAACTTCTCCAGCATCCCCAGGACCAGCTCCAAGACGAGATGCAGCGTTTCTTTTCAGCAGCTTTAGGGAGGAAAAAAAATAAATAAATACTGATGAAGGCCTAGCCTTGTGGCACAGTCAGCAGCAAACTGATTCACAGTGCTGGAATCCACGAGGCCGACTGTGAGTTCAGATCTCCAGGTCAGCATGAAAAATGCCGGGTGTATGCACACATACGTGCCCAAGATCCTGAAAGGCTAGACAGTTGAGGAAAGGGGGCTGCAATGTACAAAACCATGTCAAGGGTTCTCTCCTTTCTCTCTCTCAAAAGCATGCATACTCTCTAACATAAATAAACTCTGGCTGACCTGTGGCCTAGGAGTTAAGGGAGCCCGGTCCCACATGGCCAACTACAGTTCAAGTCTGGGCCCAGAGGCTTGAAAATCATGCTCAGCATGTGTGTGTGTGCATGCCTCAAATCACAAGATGGAAAAATGGAGAAGAAATTATGGCAAGATAATGTCCCATTGGTGGGTGCTTTTTCCTTTCCCTTTTCTCTATCCCTCTCTGGCGAGAAAACATGTTCTCTGGCAATTAAAAAATAAATTTAACAAAAAAAATTTAAAAGAAATATCAATGAACTTTATTTAATCAAACTGATATCTGATTTAAAATTTGCTGGTCTACTTTAACTTGAGAAAATATATTTTATTTATTATTGCTATTTTTAATTTGCTGTAGGGCATGTGTACTCACCAGAGACAGACAGAAAGAGAGAAAGCAAGCTACCAGGTTCTGGGACTCAAACTATGGCTGACCATGTGGGAGTCCACTGCCTTAACTACCATGCCACTTGCTGGCCCTCAATATAACTTATTAATTACTACTAAATATTGTTTGAGAATAAAAAGAAAAGATCTTGAAACAAATTTGTATGTTGCTTTCAAAAACTTTAGGCTTTTTTTGGTTCAGAATCTATGTGTGATTTTTTTTTTTTTAATATGCTCTATAGCACATGAAACAGAGAAAATGAGAAAGTATCCTACAGGGCAGATGCCCATGCCGCAGTCCCTTTCCCTGTACTCTCCTCCGGGGATTTTGGAAATGCATGCATATGTGCCCAGTGTGTTTTTTAAGCTGCTGGATCCAGGACTCAAACCACACAGGAAGCCATGTGAGATCCAGCTACCTTAACCATACCACCTATGGCCCTATGTGTGATTCTTTATTTAAATATATGTTATATTCTTTTTATTATTGTTATATAGTAAAAACACTCCTCAATGTTCACCTTAATGTCCTTTGTATTTATTTTTATATTTTTTATATTGGGCAAGAGCTTGCGTAAGGGGGTAGTGGGGACAGTGAGAGAGTCCTGGGGGCTGCTACACCTTAATCCCTTCTCCATTCTTCTCTCAGGATGTTGGGCATTCACACACATATGCCCCATGTGTTTTTCAAGCTACCAGGTCCAGGATCAAACTGCAAAGTTGGTCATGTGGGATCCAGCCATCTTAACACTATATCACCAATTAGCCCAGTTAACTCCCTTTTTAAAAAAAGTTTATTGGAGCCAACAGGTGGTGTGGTGGTTAGGGCACTCCGACATGGCTGACCATGATTCAAGTCTCAGACCTGGTGGCTTGGTTTCTCACTTTCTCTCTCTCTGGTCAAATTAAAATATGACAATAATAAATAAAATCAAATAAAAATAATTCTTTAAAAAAGAAAAAGGTTCTTTCTATCTTCTTCCATGAGCAATAGAGAGAAAGGGAAAAAGGGAGTAACAGACAGGCACCTCCACTAGGGCTCCCATGCCACTGTCCAACCCCAGTCCCAGCCAACCCTCATGACCATGTGCACCTGTGCCCACCATTCCCAGGGAGTTCCTGCAATGCAGACCCAGGACCTTTCTCATTGGGTCCAGTGTGGTACTACTACACCACCATCTGGCCTCACAAAAACATATGTTATATTCTACCTAGTTAAATCCTAACCATTAAGGCTTGTAAGGTAAGTGCCCAAATAAGATCCCTACCTTTTTAAGCAGATCTCTGGCTTCTTGTGTGAGGTAGGGAGGCAAATTGAGTTTACATTTGAGGATTTTGTCAATTGTTTTCTTTCTATTCTCACCAGTAAATGGGGGCTAAGAGTAGAAGAGAATGAAAAAAATTAGCATATAAAGACAAATTTAAAATAACATTATCAGTTTCCTAAATAGTTACACATGGAGATCAGAAATGTGTGCTGTGAAATGGATTGATTGCTAAAGTCCTATAGCTTTTCAGCAATGGGACATAGTAATGTCATGAAAGGAAGCCACCATTAACTTGCTGTGTAATCATAGGTAAAGCATTTGTTTTGTTATTGTTTCTTTTCATTTTTTTTCTTTTTAGATTTTTGCCATAGGGCACATGTGCTCACTGGAGAGGGTGACAAGGACAGAGACAGAGACAGTAAGTCTCTGTAGGAAAATGAGAAATCACTCCCTGGTGGGGATGACCACACTGCGATCTCTTCTCTTCCATTCTACTATCAGGATTCTGGGCACACATGCACATGAGCCTGATATGATTTTCAAGCCACCAGGTCTGTGGTTGGCCATGTGAGAGTCCAGTACCTTAACCACTACATTTGTTAATTGTTTCTTAAAGACATGGCTTCACTATGCTGCCCAGGCTGTCCTCAAATTGCTGAAGCTTCCTAAGTAGCTAGAATTACAGGAACATGCCATAGCACAAGACTAAAGCTTGTAATTTTATACTTTGGTTTCTCCACGTATAAAATAAGGGTGTTATCTCAGCTACTTCTTTTTCATAGGGCTGTCATGACATATGTATTTAAATTTTATATATATATACATATACATATATATATATATATATGTTTTTTTTTTTTTAAGAGATTTTTACTATAGGACATGTGTGCCTGCCAGAAACAAAGAGGAAACAGAGAAAGAAAGTGAGAAATCACTCCCCAGGGAGGATGGCCATGCAGCAATCCCTTTCCCTTCATTTTCCTCTTGGGATTTTGAGCATGCACACACATGTGCCTGGTGTTGAGTTTGAAGCAGTTGGGTCCAGGACTCAAACCACAGTTGGCCATGTGGGAGTCCAGCGTCTTAACTATTACACCACCTGCTGGCACCAAAAAAAATATATATTTTGCAAAGTGTAGGAGCCCACGTAATCATAGGCATTATTAATATTAAACTGCTGATAATGGGGCCAGCAGGTGGTTAAGCTGCTAGACTCCCATGTGGTCAACCTTGGTTTGAGACTCAGACCTGGTGGCCTGAAAATCGTGCTGGACAAATGTGTGTGTGTGCCCAGAATCCCAGGAGAAGAATGGAAGAGAAGAGACTGTAGCATAGCCATGCCCCCAGGGGGTGATTTATCACTTTTCCTCTCTCTATCTCTGTCTCTCTCTGATAAGCGCATACACCCTATAGTAAAAACTTTAAAAAAAAAAGAAAAATTCCTCATAACAAATCTTTGGGCTTTAAAAATTATACTGGTAGCATTTTCAAAAAGCACAGGAAAGGTCTCTTGTAACAGTGATTTAATAACTACTCAACACAGACTAAAATACATGCAGCTTTTAACTGTGCACCTACTGCTCCAGTCAGCATGTCATACATTAATGCTCCCAAACTCCACCAATCCACAGCACGATTGTGACCACTTCTCATCAAGATTTCAGGGGCCCTACAATGAGAAAAAGAATATGCCTAAAAATTCACCATTTGCATGCCATCTGAATTAAAATTTCAAAAACAATATATTGAGTCAATAATGCTACAGAAAACTTAGACACTATTACATAAACCAGGTAAAAGTTATTACCCCCAAACCAGTTATATTTCTTTTAACATGCAGCTCACATGTATTCTATTGTTCCACAAAATGTGTGTGTGACTGTTCCATCATGAATAGATTCTTTGCATAGTCCAAAGTCGGTTAGTTTCACATGACCTACAATAAAAGATCACAGCATGATTATTCTGAGAATTTTAAGTATGTGCAGTGTTGAATATACTACACAAGATAACCTATCCTTCTATTTGACATTTTCTGCCTTAACCTTTTCTTAAAGATGTCAAGAACTAACAAGGTACCATCTATAAAACAGCATGCTAACGCTTTAAGATTAGGGCAGAACCCTTCTGCCAATGATACAATCTATGTAAATAAGGAGAAAATAGTGAAACTGCTTATCTAAGGCTCAAGCTTTACCTATGTATAAAATCCTCTATCACCCTGAGAAAGCAAAAGTCCTGAGGAACTTGTTTATGAAGTCTATTTTAAATACACAGACCCCAATGAACATATTCTATGCCTTCTAATTAAAGATGTGACATTGTACATCAAATATCAGCTTTTATCACAATGAACTATGACTAGAAGAGAGTTCCTAAAATCATCGAAGACAGTAACTCTACGAAATTAGCTTATTCTGCCAAATGCTACAAATTAAGGAAAAGAAATGAAATTGCCATATGGCATAGGACAGTCATTTCTGATCTAGAAAGTGAAAAACACCACCTTACACAAAGATCATTTCAGTTCAAGTTTAGCTTTACTGACCCATCACTGGATAACCAAATGTTCAATAATCCCACGGCCCTACTACTCCAGGTTCATTTCAGAGAACAAAAGAGGGAATGACTTAACTATTTAAATGTAAATATATACACTTTTCTGACATAAAAGAAGAAATACGGTCTTCATTTTCACAGAACCAACTGATATACTCAAGTTATAGTCCAAATTCTATGACTCTGCTGTTCCACCTTTGCCTTGGAATTTGGGCAGGGGTAGGGGGGATGGAAGGAAGGGACAGACGTTGATTCCCAAGATATACTTGGTTAAGCATATCATTTCTCTTTTAAAATAAAAAGGAAAGGGGGAAAAAGGCACAATTTGAAACATTTATGTTGGCCTCACTTGCCCATAAATTGTCCAAGAGTTTGCAACGGTTCATCTACCTTATGAATCATTTTGTGGACATCTAAGAATCAACAGTTGCTACCAGCCCCCTAGGTACCATGGTCAGCTTGTTGCTCCTTTGGGATGTGAGTAAATGGCCACATCTACCTAGCCTAGATGACTCTAACGTAAACTGAGATGTCTGTAGCAGCATGCAGTTGTAGTCAAGGCTTACTTTGCTCTCTCTACCTATAGCTGTACTGACTGTTAGTCTCTACAATGTTCATGTTTGTTGCTGCAAAGACCAAGGATAAACTGAGCCTACTATACATTTTATCTCTAAGGTTGCATCAAATACTTTTGCTCAAGTCTAATCCTTTCCCTTTTCCACCATTAGTGCAATTTGTCATTAAAAAAAAAATTGCTTCTAATATTTACGTATTTTTATCATTAAAACTCAGTATTATTAAGATTTACAAAGAGCAAATGAAAATTAATGTCTGGATGGGCTTTTGACTCACAACACTTTATGTAAAGATTTCAAAAAACTGACAAGCTATATAAAGAGTAAGGATTAAACCAAGAAAGGCTATTGAATGGTTTTTTTTCCTTAAGGCTAGTCAAGGAGAATGGCTTTTATCCTCAACTTCCTTTAATTTCACCAACTGTAAGTACCTAAATATTTAAACAACAGTGAGTGTTATGTTGCCATAAATTCTGAGGGAGAAAATGTATAATAATAGAAAGATGAATATAGGGCTTTGAAAATGGCCATGACCTGTATGGGGGGATTTTAAGATGATTATTTACTATAGAATTGTTTACGGTATATCTCCACCTTGGTGATTAAGCATGATATTCTCCGGCTTCAGGTCTCTGTAGATGATCCCCTTTTGATGTAAATGCCCCAAAGCCATGGAAATTTCTGCCAAGTAAAAGCTGGAAACAAAAGTGATTTAATAAAATTAAAAAGAGTAATCTACCCAAAGCAGTTTATGTATGGAGCAAAATTCCTTGAAAGAAACAGACATGCACCAAAGACCAAATTGGTGGGGAGGGGGAATGTATAGGGCAAGAGATGGCATAGGGTGCTGCCAAAAGGCATGGGGACACTTATGTTTCACTGTTCGGGTGAAACTACAAAATGCTGTATTTAACCATTAGAACATAGTACTAAAACTGCAAAGATTTCTAGAATATGCTAAACTATCATGTTTTGTTCTGACTTTGTAGGAATTAGGCCAATAGTCATTCAGATCAAAGCAAATTTTTCCCACCACCCCCAACTTTAAAATCCCACAGAAATAGGAACTTTCTTATTCTCAGAGATCTAGTCTGGATTTCAAAAGATACTTTACAACCTGACCCTCACTAGTCCCTTACTTAATACAACTGCATATTTACAGACAGCCTATGCCCACAGTGTCTGCCCTCCCTCTTGCCAGCCAGCCCACAACTATGAACTGTGTGACACTCAAATTTATCTACCTCAAAAGAATAAAGGGCTGAATCAACCCTGTCTGGATTCGAAAAGCACAAGGCACTGCAATACTGGCTGCATAACAAGGTTGCAATCCTGCAGATTACTCCAGGATGGAGAGGGTGTGTCCTAGAGGACTGAGGCAGTTTCACAGCCAGCAGGACCACAAACACAGCCTCCAACATGGCTCAGAGAGCCTCCTCCAAAAAAGGGCACTTCATCCCTAAGGCTCTTAAATGCAGCTTCTGTGTTAGAAAGGCCTGAAATTAAACAATGGAATGCAGTTTGGTAATTAAGGTAGAAAAAACATTTAAGTGTTGTTTTCTATTCAATGAATGTGTAGGATAAACTGATTTATTGTTACCCAATACTGTGATTCACAAAGTGAGATATATATTCTTTTATTTATTTTTTTTTAAGTCAGTCATAAGGAGTGTGTGCTAGAGGAAGTGAGAACTCACTGGCTAGGGGAGATGGCCACACCGCAATCCCTTCTCTATTCTGCTCTTGAAATTTTGGGCATTCACACACGCATGCACATGCACCCAGTGTTTTTAAAGCCGCTGGGTCCAGGACTTAAACCATGTAGTTGGCTATATGGGATCCAGCCACTTTAACCAGTATACCACTGGCTGGCCCATGATAATATATTTTTAATCTGAAGCAGATGTGATGTTAAGAGACAGGCAGGTAGATCCCATCCTCATTACATAATCAATCCACATATGATAATGTGCAGGCTTATCATCTCTCTAAGACTGCACCTTGGAACTGGAAAGTCTAAAATAAATTATTTCTGATACTTTCCATGGTTCCACACATACAGTTTGACTAGGAAATGACACCCACCCACTATCAAGGCAGGCAGCTTACCAATTCAAAAAAAGAAAGCCACAATGACAATGATTCTGTTAGGAACAACCAGTGTAACAAGTAGTCCACCCAAGGCCTCAGGGCAAAGGAATGATGTGATCTCCAACAACTGCCCAGTCCCAAAGCTGCCTCTCCCCCTTGAAAACCTGTGAGACTGACTGGCTCAAGATCAATTTATTGAATCATTTGGCTTCCCAAAGTGGGAATGGGGCTTTGCTTTTAATCATATGAATCGTTACCCAAATACATACAATAACAAAAATTTCACTTACCAGGCTGTGTCTTCCATAAATATTCCCTCTCTTTCTAACTGCATAAATAATTCTCCTCCTATAAAGAAAAGGGAAAGACAGCAGAAATAAAACAATCTTTATTTCCAATGCACTATTAAAAAGTGCAATAAATTAAAAGATGCCAATCTTTAAAAACAAAACAAAAAACAGATCCTGTTGGCATAGTAGGCTAAGCAAATTGAACTACAGTGCTGGAAACCACATGGCCAACTGTGGATTCAGATCACTGGGTCAACCTGAAAACAAGCAAGGCATATCCTGGGCACATGTGTGCATGCCCAAGATCCTAAAGAGTTGGAGGGCCAGGGAAAGCGAGAATCACAGCAAAAAGAGACCCTGTAAAGAGTGCCTCCGCCTACCTCTCATGAGTATGCATGTGCTATCATGAATTAAATTAAAACAAACAAACAAAACCAAGGTTCTAAAAATTTAAAATTAATCCCCAGGATTCTTTTTCTTTTTCTTAATTGCCAAGGGGAGTATACACTTGCCAGAGAGAGGGAGCTAGCACTCTCCAATGTGGCATGATCATACCACAATCCCTTCTCAACTCCATTGAAATTTTGGTCATACATATACACACACAGTGTGTGTTTATTTACTTTTTCTTTTAGGTTTTTGTCATAGGGTGTGTGTACTTACTGGAAGAGAGAGAAAGAGAGAGAGAGAGAGAGAGAAGGAGAGGAAGTGAAAAATCACACACACACACACACACACACACACACACACACACACACCGAGGTGGGGAACAGCCATGTGGCAATCCCTCCTCCACTTTCCTCTCAGGATTCTGGGTATGCATGCCTTGCGTGATTTTTCAAGCCATTGGGTTTGGGACTTGAACCACAGTCAGTCATGTGGAAGTCTAGCATCCCAACCACCATACTACCTGCTGGCACCCACCAGGGTATGTTTTCCAAGTCATTGGGGATGGGACTTGAACCATAGTCAGAATTTGTGCTCCCTTAACCACAACTATGAAGCTGGCCCAATGGTTTCATTTTTAGCAGCAGTCTTACTCTTCTATGAAACATACACATTTAAAAAATACAACTGGTTAGAATATTTGCCTTTACATTAAAAACTTCAAAGGTTTGTAGATTCTAGACCTGAGGTTAAAAATAAAAATGAAACAAATATTTTGATTGTAGCATTACATTTTACCCCTAAGTAGAAAAATGTTAGTATACAATTAACTGTAGTGAATGTTCATATTCTATATTTTCAGAACTCCTTTTTTAAAAAGAATTATTTTATTTAACTTTATTTATTTTAATTTGACCAGAGAGGGACAAAGAGAAAGAGGGGACGGGGGAGTGAGAAAGTAAGCCACCAAGTCTGGGACTCAAACCACGGATGCCATCCAGTTTCCTTAACCACAATACCACCTGCCAGCCCCTATTTTCAGATTTTTTTTTTTTTTTGGAGAGGTTTTTGCTATAGGCTACGTGTGCTTGCCAGACAGACAGAGACAGACAGAAAGTGAGAAATCACCCCCCTGGGGGTATGGCGACGCCGCAATCCCTTCTCCTCCATTCTCCTCTCGGGATCTTGGGCACGCACACGCGCCCGGCATGAGGTTAAGCCACCGGGTCCGGGATTTGAACCGTGGTCGACTACGTGGGAGTCCAGCGACATGGCCATTACGCTAACTGCAGGTCCCAGAACTTTTTTTTTTTGTTTGATTCTTTAGCTATGACAGAAGAGATGATTTATTGTACACATATTACATTCAGCCACAGTAACAGCATTAGTCCCAGAATGTTACAGATCCAGGGAAAAGGCTGTTTTGGTAGGAGCAATGTGGGTCTCTCCCAGAAGTGTTGGTGATGCACTGGCTGTGGAAGCTCTAGATCCAGAGACAGAATCGACAGTACCTTGCAGTGCAACTAGTACTAGTACCCCGAGCCTCCGACTTTCCATTTCTGCTGTTGTGGCCTCCACAGGTGCACGAGGTATTTACTAGGACCTGTCTCATCTTTCTTCTTTTACACATAAGCCTGCACATTTGCTTCTTCCTCCACTTGGCTTTTAAGGTGCGGAAGGCTCTCAAGGTGCATAAGTATCCTAAAAATGGCACTAAGGCCAAGAGAACTATTTTCAGAACTTTTAAAGTGAATAAACTTGGTCGTGGCCTTGTAAAAAGCATGGCACAATTTGGGCCAGCAGGTGGCATAGTGGTTAAGGGTGCTGGACTCCCACGTGGCCGACCACCATTCAAGTCCCAGACTTGGTGGCTTGCTTTCTCACTTTCCTTCTCTTTCTCTTACTCTGTACCTCCCTACTCAAATAAAAATATAAATAAATAAAGTTAAAAAAAAAAAGCATGGCACAATTTGAATACCAAAATAATTACTGATCATAAAGGGTTATAGTCCAATGAATAATCTTAGGCTCCATGATTCCACAGTGAGACAAAAAAATGAACAGGTAATTTTTTGGGAACCAGCAGTTAGTGTAATGGTTATGTCACTGGACTCCCACATAGTCAACCATGGTTCGCATCCCAGACCCAGTGGCTTAAAACCCACACCAGGCACGTGTGCGTGTGTGCCCAAGATCCCGAGAGGAGAATGGAGGAGAAGGGATTGCGGCGTGGCCATCCCCTCTGGGGGGTGATTTCTCGCTTTCTGTCTCTCTCTCTTTGTCTGTCTGGCAAGCACACGTGCCCTATAGTGAAAAACCTCTCAAAAAAAAAAAAAAAAAAGGAAGAGGTAATTTTTTTAAATGGGGGAGGAGTAGCTCTTTATTACAATAGAATGCCATTTCATAAATGAAGAAGATATGATGGAATAAGAAAAATCACTTGGCAAACACCATTGTTAATTGCTGCAGGCAAGAATCAATGGATTCCAAAACTGAATATGAAAACTTGATGGGAGATAAGATATTTTAAAAATCTCAAAGTGGGGCAAGCAGGTGGCATGGTGTTAGAGTGCTGGACTCCCACATGGCCAAGCACAGTTTGAGTCCCAGAACCTGGCCCCTTGCTTTTTCATTTTCTCTCTTCCTCTTTCTCTAGTGAGCACATGTGCCCTATAGCAAATTTAAAAATAATAATACATAAAATTAAATAATTCTTAGGGGGAAAAAAAAAAAACCCTCAAAGTATCAGGTCAGCCAGTGGTGTGGTGTGCTTAAGGCAGCTGAGCTGCATCCCATGTGACTGACTATGTGATTCGAGTCCCAGACCTAGTGGCTTGACAAAGACACCAGGTCCGTGTGTGTGTGTGTGTGTGTGTGTGTGTGTGTACAAAATCCTGAGAGGAGAATGGAAGATAAAGGACTGCAACATGGCCTCCCACTGGAGGGTGATTTTTCCCTTTCAAAACTCTTTCTCTTTCCCCCACCCCAGTCCCTGCAAGCACACACATCCCATAGCAAAACTTTAAAAAGTATCTCTTCAAAAGATACATATTAATTACAAAAGGAAAACATTACCAAGGAAAAAACTTACAGAAACTACATTATAAAGGTGACCAAAGTTAACATCCCTAAGACAAAGATATAAATATCATGTACCTCTTGATCTGATATACTGAGGATAAACATCACTTCAGTGACCCTGCCAAAAATGCTTAAACTGAATCTAATCCTAATAAAACATCAGATAAACCCAAATTGCTGCATTCTAGGAAATACATAGCCTGTACTTTCCAAAATGTCAACATCATGAAAGTCGATCGAAGACTGAGGAATTGTTCCAGGTTAAAGTTAACTAATAAACAGAGGGCCAGCAGGTGGCGGCTTGTTTTCTCACTCTCTCTGTCCCCCCCCCCCCCAATTCATTCTGTGCCTCTCTGGTCAAATTAAAATAAATAAAAATAAATAAAGTTAAATAAAATAAAATAAAATAATAAAGTTAACTAAAGAGTGATACTATATCACTGTTCATTTTCCATTTTTGACAATTTCAGTAGTTACGAAAGATACTGTCATTAGTTTTAGAAAATATACACTGAGGGGACTAGCAGGTCGCAAGGTGGTTAAAGCACTGGACACTCCCATATGGCTGACCACAGTTCAAGTCCTGGACCTGGTGGCTTGCTTTCTCACTTTCCCTCTCTCTCTTTCTCTGGTCAAATTAAAATAAATGAATGAATAATTTTTTTTAAAAAATTAAAAAATATATACACTGAGATTTTAGGAATAAAGAAAAATCATGTCTGTAAAACTTTCTTAAAACAAGATAAATGATATATACACATACACACTTGCATATGTGCAATTATATATATATATATATATATATATATATACACACATAGAAAAAGACATTAAACAAATGTGATAAAATGTTAACATTTAGTGAATCTAGGTGAGATTTCTATGGGAATTGTTTGTGTTATTCTTAAAACATGTTTGTGACCAGTAGGTGACATGGTCGACCACAGTTGGCTTCCGAGACCTGGTGGCTTGCTTCCTCACTTTCTCTTGCTCTCTCTCTCTCTCTCTCTGAGTCTCTCTCTGATCAAATTAAAAATAATTGAGTGAATAAACTTAGATTAAAAGCTCTTTAAAAAAAAAAAAAAAGTTGTGTTAAGTCCAACATTTTTCCAAAATAGTCACAGGAAAAAAAAAACGGTAATAGGCACCAAAATCAGTTGCTAAAAAAGTTAAATTACTGCAGCTTTCTCTTCCATGTTATAAACTAGGTGAATCTGTTTCTGAGAAAATTCAAATTTATTTACTGAGAATAGACACATCTGAGATCTAGAAATGGTATGGGGAGCAACAAGTGCCCAGGAGGTGACAGGCCCTGAAAATGTGCTCAATTTCCAATGTAGCCCTATCACTAATGCTACATTAAACTATTAGGTTGTCGGGAAAGTCATGACATATTTTTCTAAGCAAAAATACGTCATGACTTTCCTGACGACCTATTAAAAACTCTTCAGTTTAAAGATGCAATTCCAGGGCTAGCAGTTGGCGTGGTTAAAAATGCTGGATTCCCAAATGGCCGACCGCGGACTTGGTGGCTTGCTTTCTCAATTTCCCTTTCTCTCTCTTTCTATCTCTCTCTGGTCAAAGTAAAAATAATAATAATAACAAATGGAATTAAATAAATAATTTTTTTTTAAAAAGATGCAATTCCAAAAATACTCAGTATCTTTTTTTTTTTTTTTTTAAGTGTTTGCCATAGAGCAGGTGAACTTTTGGGGTGTGAGAAATTACTCCTCGGGGGGAATGGCCATGCTGTAATCCCTGCTCTTCTGCTTCCCTCTTGGGATTTTGGGCATGCATGTACATGTGCCTGATATGATTTTTAAGCCACTGGGTCCAGGACTTAAACTGCAGTTGACCATGCTCCTTAACCACCATCGCACTTGCTGACCAATACTCACTCATATCTTAAATAATACTCTAAATAAGTTTTTCCATTTCAGTTTAGAAAGGAGTATTTTGTTTATTTGAATTACAGTATCTTACCCCAGCACAATTTGATAGCTCATATCAATTGTTTATAATTTTGTTAAGTGATCGCTTACAAAGAGATTAAGATAAAATTTTACAGAAGGGGGAAAATTTAACCTTTAAAGTTTTCTTCATCTTTGTCTGCAAATAGAAACATTTGGGCACATTGAGTTCTTTACTATCATGTACTCATCAACTTTAAGAACTATTTGATCACAATGGGAAAAAAAAACATTTTTCCATTGGAAAATAATGTCCCGACCGAGTTTTTGGAGCAAATGCAAATTATTACACCAAACTGTGTGTACTGACCACTGAGATACTCAAGGATGAGGTAGAGTTTTCCACCGGTCTGAAAGGCATAAATTAAATCCACAATGAAGGGATGCTTTACTTCCTCCAGAATATTCCGTTCTGCTTTTGTATGAGCTGTATCTTTAGCATTTCTTACTATCATTGCCTAAAGAAAAAGAGATGATCTATAAGAACAAAATAGTGAACATCTTTATTCTGTAGTAACTGGAAAAATCTATTTTTTGAGGCCTTTCTTGTCAATTTTGAACTATTAATCATAGTTTGCACTAGAAACTGAGATGACTAACAGAAATCATTCACCTCCTATAAAAATCTGCATTGTGTGATCTTTGTAGTGAATGTATAAATAAAAATCTAAAGATAATTTTTTTTTAAAAAAGTTTTTGCTATGGGACACATATACTCGCCAGAGAGGGAGAGGAGGAGAGAGGGGAAGAGAGAGAAGAGAGAGAGAGAGAGAGAGAGAGAGAGAGAGAGAGAAGGAAAGAAAAAAAGCACTCCTTGAGAGATGCTATGCCGCAATCTCTTCTCCCCCTCTCACACATCCCTTCTGGATTTGGGAAACGTATGCATAAGTGCTCAGTATGTTCCTCAAGCTGCTGGGTCCAGGACTTGAACTGTGCAGTCAGCCACAGAAGATCTAGCTACCTTAACCATCATACCACCCATTGGCCCAAAAGATATATTAAAAAAAAAAAAAAAAAGCATGGTATTAAGGTGCTGGATCCAATGTGGCCAACGTCATGGTTCCCAGTGGCTTGAGAGTCACACTGGGCACATGTGTACTGGTGCTCAAAATCCCAAGAGAAAAGTAGAGGAAAAGGGACTATGGTCTGGCCATTCTCTCTGGGGAATGAGTTCTCACTTTCCCTCTCTCTCTGTCTATGGCATATGCACACTCTCTATAGCAAAAACTAAACAAACAAATAAATAAATAGATCAAGTTTATTCATATAATGACTACTGAGTACCTACTATGCTGTAGGCTCTCAACAAAGAGAACAGGAATGCTCTGTCTATGGCAGCCCAGTCTCAGAAAAAAGACAAGTCAATGGAGGTAAGCATAGGGTGCTGGGTGAATAGGGGAACCTTATCTGACCTGGCAAGAAGTCTTCCTGGAGGTGATGCTATCTAACTCATACCTTGAGAAGTTATTAAGAAGAAATGTGGCAGGTAAGAAACACATTCCAGAAGAAGAGGCCTGCTTATTAACAAGACAGTCTGTGTTTCGGGAATCTCTAAGTAGTTAGAAATTGGACTGGAGAAGCAAAGGGCAGGAAACAGAAAATCTAGGTATCTAGGCAAAGGCATTGGAATCCTACCTTAAAGGCAAAGAAGAAATATTGAAATAAAGTGAATAACATTTGGCATTAAAAAAGACAGTTCTAGTAGCAGTGTGATGTTTTAGGAAAGAAATGAGACTAGATAGGAGGTTAGTAAAGTAAGAAGACCATAACTAAGAAAATAATGGGAGGAAATAAAAGGAAAGGCTAAAGCTACATCATGTGTTTGCTGACTAATTTGGCATGAAAAGAAATGATGATACCTTGGTTTCTGCTAAAGTAATAGGATAAATAATGGTGTTGTTCAATAAAGATACTGGAAGCAAAGAAGTTTTGGGAAAATTATGTACTGTTTATACATGCTAAGTTCTAGGACATTACCCTGATGATACAGCTCTAGTAATTTGAAAAAGAAATACACAGGGTTGTTAGCGGCAACATTATCTGTAAAAGTCAAGCACCAAAAACAACCTAACTGCCCATATACAAGATAATGACTAAAAAACCTATGGAATCTACACAGTGTGTAAACAATCTGTAAAAAGATGGGCCAATGGCATAGTGGTTAAGTACATAGATACCACATGCCTAACTGCATGGTTCAAATCCTGGACCCAGTAGCTTGAAAAGCACACTAGATGTGTATGCATGCATTTCTGAAATCCCGAAAGGAAAATGGAGAAGGGATTGTGGTGTGGCCATTTCTCACGGTGAGTATTTTCTTACTTTCTCCCTGCCCCCTCCACTGGTGAGTACATGTACCCTCTAGCAAATTAAAACAACAGAAAAAGAAAGAAAGAAAAATTTAAAAAAAAAAAAAAAAATCTGTGAAAAGAATAAGAAACCGGCCAGCCTGTAACCTGGTGGTTAAGGAGCTGGATCCCACATGGATGACTGTGAGGTTTGAGCCTCAAACTCTGTAGCTTGAAAAACACATGAGGCACATGTGTGCACCTAAAGTCCCAAAATGAGAAAAAGATGGAGGACAAGGAATTGTAGCATAGCCATTCACCACAAAGGATACTTTCTTCTCCTCTCTGACAAGCACATGTACCCTCTGGCAAATTAAAAAAAAAAAAAAAAGGAATAAAAAGGAGCCAGCAGGTGGTGTAGTGGTTAAGGCACTGGACTCCCACATGATTAATTGCAATTCAAGTCCTGGACCCAGCAGCTTGAAACTCACCAGGCATGGCATGTATACATGAGTGCCTAAAATCCTGAGAGGAAAATGGAGGAAGGATTGTGGCATAGCCATCTCCCAAGGAGGTCATTTCTCACTTTCTTTCTCTGTCTCTCCAGCAAGCACACATTTTTGTCCTATAGCAAAAATTTCTCAAAAAAACAAAATAAAAAAATTATCTATAAAAGAAAAGTTCAAAAGAGCATATATAGTATATAGTACAGTAGCATATATATAGTGTATGTTTGAACGAAAGGGGAAGTAAGAATACATGTGAGGGGACTTCGAAAAGTTTATGAAAAAGTGGAATTTTGGGAACCAGCAGTTAGCATAATGGCTGTGTCTCTGGACTCCCACGTAGTTGACCGCGGTTCGCGTCCCGGACCCGGTGGCTTAAAACTCACGCCGGACACGTGTGTATTCGTGCCCAAGATCCTGAGAGAAGAATGGAGCAGAAGGGATTGCAGCGTGACCATCCCCTCTGGGGGGTGATTTCTTGATTTCTGTCTCTCTGTCTCTCTCTGTCTGTCTGGTGAGCGCACACGCCCTATAGTGAAAACCTCTCTTAAAAAAAAAAAAAAAGAAGAATTTTAAGTAAGAGTTTATTGTCATGCAAAAGGTTTTGAAATCCATGCATAGTTCTTTTATAATATGCATTTTTACAGAAACTTTTGAAGACCCATCATACATGGGCCCGGCCACAACAGCATAGGCAGCAGGAGCATTGCTGCATGATGCTTAAGACCATGTGGGAAGGTCTTGGGTTCACAACCCGGGTCTACCACAACAGGCCAGGTACACAGAACATAGACAGACACATCCACAATCCTGGCTGACTGAAGCAATATAGGAGGATCACAGCATGAGGGCCCTATAGAGGATACCTGCATACCTCTTTCTTTCATGAAGGAAATGAATGAGTGTACTAAAAAAAAAACAACAAAAAACATAGTTAAAAGTATCTGCTCATATCCACAGAACAAACACAACTAAGATAAATCAAAAGCAATGATAATGGGAGGGTAGGAAAAGGAGTAAGAATTTTGAGTATACCTTCTGAATAAAACCTTAATGGTTTTATAATCCATTTTTTCTTGCCTAAATCAATATAATATTATTATAAAATGGAAAGTCTGACTTGACCATACTATTCATGTTTTAATACACATTCCAAAAATGAAATGAAATAAACAAAGAAGGGAGCAGCAAAACTGCATTCAATAAAAATACATAAATTTAATTGAATGGGGCCAGGAGGTGGTGTGGTGGTTAAGGGCGCTGGACTCCCACGTGGCCAATTGCAGTTCAAGTCCCAGACCTGGTGGCTTGCTTTCTCATTTCTCAGTCTCTTGCTCTCACTCTGTCCCTCTCTGGTCAAATTAAAATAACATAAATAAATAAATAAATAAAGTTAAATAAAATAATTCTTTAAAAACATCTAATTGATTACTTTACCACAGAAAGAGAATAAAGATATTTCAATAACTTTAGCTTGCATATCCTTAATGGTCTCTATGTAAGCATGAAAAACATGTTGCAGGGACCAGCAAATGGTGTAATGGTTACATCACTGGACACTCATGTAGTCAACAGTGGTTAAGTCCCAGACCCAGGGCCTTAAACTCAGTGGGTGTGTGTGCATGTGTGCCTAAAATCCTAAGAGGAGATGGAGAAGAGATTGTGTCATGGCCATTCCCCCTTGTGGGGAGGGGGTGATTTCTCACTTTCTGTCTCTCTGGCGAGCACACACCCTACAGCAAAAATCTCTCTCTAAAAAAATTGCAAAGAAATCTTAAGCCACACTTAGGTTTATAGTTGGAGTAATATTGGCATAATTTTCACACTATTTTTTTTCTGGAGAGGTTTTTTTGCTATAGGGTATATGCGCTCACCAGAAAGATAGAGACAGAGAGAGAATTAGAAAGTGAGAAATCACCCCCTGGGAAGGATGGCCATGCCACAATCCCTTCCCCATTCTCCTCTACGGATCCTTAGAGAAACGAATAATTGCAGGCCAGGGTCAAGGAAAGTGCAAGGCATAACTGGAGTATCTTACTGCATTAGAAACTAAGAAAGTACTCAAAAGTTAAGGGAGGAGGCCAGCATGTGGTGTGGTGGTTGAGGCACTGGACTCCCACATGGCCCACAGTGGTTTGAGCCCTGGACACAGTAGTTGATCGCTCGCTCTCTCTCTCTCTATACATATATATATGTATATATATATACACATACATACATATAATCAAACTGGAAAATAATAATAAATAAAATAATTCTTTAAAAATAAAGTCGGGCCAGGACCAGTAGATGGTGTAATGGCTACATCGTTGGACTCCCATGCTGTCAATCAGGGTTCGAATTCCAGACCCAGTGGCTTAAACTCACCACCCGGGCGTTTCTGCGG